AAGATATTTTATATTTTACTAATATATGCTTTAGATATTTATAAATGTTTGAGCTTTGTATTAAATCAAATTAAAAGAATGATATTCTCTATTATATTATTTTAAATATGTTGTAAATACATTTTTGAAAAAAGATATGATTGACATAATAATGATATAATTTTTAAATGTTTCTCCTTCAATACATAATAAGAATACGTGAAAAAGTATGAAAAAGATTTGATAGTTTTCGATACTTATAAAATTAAACTAAATAATCACACCTTATTTAAATAGAAATTAAACAGTAGGTATAAAATTGCAAAAACCATATTAGTTTGAATAATCATAGGAAAGTCAAGTTTGACTTTCTGAAAGAATATTTTTGTTTGAAAGACAGCGTAAGCGTAAGGCAGCCATGTTATCAAAATATAAAAAATAGTAAAATAATATCTCGGTTGATCTTGGGGATATTCAAACACTCCAAATCCGCATAAGCACAGCACGATCGAAAGTGAAAATATAGCCGCTTGAACATTTTTCATGATGACTTTTTAACTTTTTAACAGGCTTAATGTACTAACTGTTACTTTATATTAGGATATGAAACATCTGTCTTGTAAAATGACATAACAAAATTTACGAAATTATGGAAACTTACTCAATTGTTACATCAACATTAATATGATGGGAAAGAAGAAAAATAATTCCTATAAATTAAGCACTTATGCAAATTAAAAAAATCGATCTGCTAGAAAGAGACTTGTCATTTATGAATTAAAATAAATAGAAAAGGCAAAATAGTATGGATTGTAATGAAATGGAAATATAATGAAAGTAAAATATAATATATATTTGTATTTTTATATATTATTTTGTTTCTTTTGTATTTAGAATAAAATATTTCTTTGCTGCTTTCATGGATGTCCATGTATCACGATTATTATGATTGATACAACATTTCGTACAAACTGAAAGAAAAATTATTTTTTACATTTTAACTAGTTATATTTTTAAGAAATAATCAATTATTTGTAATAATATTGTCATATAATTATATTACCATTATATTTTTATTATCATTATATTTATACTATATTATTATCATATATTATCATTATATTTTACTTTTGTTATACTAACATAAGCTAAAGAGCTTAGATTACTGACGTAAATAATTAGATTATTAGTTTGAAATTTTGGAAACTTATCAATTGTTATATCAAAAATATATTTATTCAAAAAGAACTACAGACTCATTGTAGGAAATTATAATAATAAAATCCAAGTCCAGAGATTTGTAGCGTAATAGTTGAAATAAAAATTGTTTAATCTATAAATGATTTTGTAATTAAAGAAGCTTAATTTTGTATAAACAGTGCAATCAAAATCATTGCTTACATTCTCCTGCATCTCGTTATCATATATCGATAAGATTTGTCAATCTATTAAAAAATATTTCCGTTTTGTTTGCCTAATTTTAATTAAAGATCATTATATATACAGTTTATGCAAAATTGCTGCTTTTGAAATAGTATTAAAAAACTTTTAATTAAATATATGAAATAATATTTATATATAAATGTATGTGTGTGTGTGTGTATATATATATATATGTGTGTGTGTATATATGTGTATATGTTGTGTATATATGTGTAATATTTTTTTCTGTATAAAAAATATATTGATATATTCTATTTACGTATAATAAATTATACATATTATTTGACTATTTAATAATTTATATGTACAAGAAAATACCTTGGTACAAATTTCTTTGCAGACATAATTAAAAACAATTATTTTGATTATGTTATTTGTCCAAACTAAATTAACTAAAATATCGATATGTATTTGATTTATAAAATTTGTATTTATCATCATTATCATCATGATTGAATCATAAAGTAAAATGATAACCTGTATTGTAAAAATTTATAATACAATTGTCTGTAACATCATTTGAAATCCAAATATTGTGTTTAATTTACGTGATATTAAATACAATTCCAGATGTATATGCCTGCGATACATGATGGTTATTGTGTACAATAATATTAAATATAGTAAATATTTATTTTATATATTTGCAATTTCCAAATTTTTTTTGATTAAATGATTTTGAGACATTTTTACAAGAACAAAATTTTACAAAATTTAAACAAAACATAAAATTTACATTATCACTAATTAATATTTTCAAATTTGAAGAGTAATTATAATTTTCTAAATTATATATAATATACAATATTAATTTGTTTTGATTACAACAAAAATGTTAATATTTTGTATTAAATATCTGTACAATTTTATTATATTATTACTGTTTGGAATTTGAAAACTGTTATAATATGCAATACTTATAGACTATTCTTACATGAAAAGCCATATAAATTGTTTAGATATTTCACTGCCAGCTATTTGTCGGCGAATCAGAGATGAAATGAAATTTGCCCAGGCATATCTTCGTTATGTCTTCTGTTCTGTTATTTCTTGAATATGTTGATTTATTTATTGTGTTATGTATTATGTATTATGATTTATGTTGATCCGATGTGTCTGCATCAAATGCAATATACAAGAAATAATTTATTATTAAAATAAAATGTGTACGATTTCTATCTTATATGATAAAAAATGTTTATTATTACAATGTTATCTACACACCTTAATAATATTACAAATAACATTTCATACAGCGCATTGACATGAAGTGCACAATTTGCTACGAATGTCAAATATACTGTTTTTGTGAAATAAAATGTAGGAATATATCCAATTAACCATAAACAGCTTAACATATTTAATACAAAAATTAAAACAAGTTATCCAATGACTAACCATTTAATTCACATTGCGTAATTTCTCATAATTATGCGGCATTCCAAACTTTTTCAATGTGTCATTTACGACATTTAATTTATTTAAACAATTTTTAAATTAAAAAAATGCATTATAAAAGAAAAATACATATTGATAAAAATCTTGTTGAAATAAACATATCGTAATATGATAATAATAATATTATTATTTATTTGTTGCAATTTAATATATTTTAAAATTTTATTTATGCCGCTTTCAAAATAAAGATATAGAATTTATGATATTATAGAATTTAATGATATAATTTTTCTGTAATGTACCTTATAAGATCACAAAATGTTCCTATATCTATATTTTTCTGTCTTTATATCTATAAAATTACGCTATATTATACTTTATTATAATATAAATTAAGTAATATATATAGCAAAAGTTTCTTACTAGCTGTATTCGTCATAGGAAAGACAATTTTATATTTTTTAAAAAATATTGATGTTTCCAAATTGAAATAAACATAAGATAGCCATAATATCAGAATGTAAAAAATAGCGAGATATGTCTCGGCCGATCTTGAGAATATTTAAATACTCCAAATCCAAATAAGCACAATACAATTAAAAGTGGACGTATAGCTGCTTGAATATTTTTCGTAGTAATTTTTTTCAGATTTGAACTAAAGATTTCGCGTTATTAAATGTCCTATTATGACATTGCAAGATAATGAAGGTTACTTCGACATTGACATAACTCGAAGATAAAGATCTCCATAATTTCAAGAATAAATTGTGCAAACACTTATGCAGATTAAAAGAATCGATCTACCACGAAAAGCATTACTTCAGTAAGTTAAAAAAACAAAGTAATTTGCATAATTTGCATAATAATTGAGTAAAAAAAGTGGAATGGACACTGATGATATAAAATTTATAATTTTAGATCCTTCTTTTTTATTTTCTTATATGTAGAAGAGTACTTTATATCTTATATGTATTATATCTTATATGTAGAAGAGAAAATAAAGAATTTGAAAATGAAAAATTAATAACTAAAATTGAATTAAATTGAAGAGATGATAAAACTAACATATTATTTTTTATTGCATACAAAATACACATATATTTTCTTGAAAAATACAGATGTCAAATATTGATGTATCTACATATTTTTAATTAATAAGAGGATAGTTATATGTATAACGCATTTGTATTATAATCACCAAGACAGTCACAAATGACTTATAGAACTGAAAAATATATTTTTATTAAAGGAAAACAGCATTAAATTATATAAATTGGAATGAAAATTTTGTATAAAAATTTTGTAAAATAGTAATAAAAATGTATAAAATGTAGTTAATAATTAAATAACTTAAAAATTATATTGCTGTATATTTTGATATTTACTTAATTTGAAGATTTACATAGTTTACAAGATTGAATATTATTTGTATCCTATCATATATATATTAATTTATACTTTTATTGAATATAGAACGTACCCGGCGAATGAAGTCGTAACCAAAATAGAGAAGTCCAACACCAAATTTTACCTCTCTTTGTTTTATTTGTAGTATAAATTGTAGAGTCTAATTTAAAAGAACAATTAGATAATGCTAGATACGAACGATAAGATTACATTGTTAAAGTTACATTCTTAATGAATTAACAATAATTTACCTGCTCGCGTAAGTCTTCGTCGACATTGTCATTGGACAATTTATAAAGAATTATTATTGTTTCGTTTGCCTATAATTATATTAATACAAAATTAAAATTTATATTAAGTCAATATTAAGAGTTTTACATAGAAAAAATTAAAATCAAGTAATTTTAAATGAAAATTATTCAACAATACGGGTTTTGTTTTCGAAAAATTCGCAATATATTAGTTTTATTTGTCATATTAATAACTAATTATTTTATTCTACTAAACCTTATCGTAAACAGTTTGACAGATATAATTTAATGAAAGAAGCTTTGCACTATATATGATGCCCCAGATATAAGCAAAAAAGCTATCTAAAACATATCCAATTTCTATTGCATTTTTATCTATATATATCGTGTAAGCTTCACGAGACAATTCTACAATAAACATAAAATAAGATGTCATTTGTAATGACATTTGTATACTAAACACTTTGTTGAGTTCGCGTGATATGAGACATAGCTGTAGATGGACATGCCTGTAATTGAACCATAATCATTGTTATTAATAACCATAAACGTACGTAAAGAAATTCTAAAC